TTTTTTTCATTTTAAAAGAAAAGAAGTAATAGGATTCTAGGATTTGCTCTATTTTTTACGTATCATACAGCAATGGTTCGCGGTGTAGTGACAATGGAACGAGTGGAAACATTTTCCGCCGCCCATCGGCTCCACTCAAATCAGCTCAGCGATGAGGAAAATCAGAAAATTTACGGGAAATGCAACAATCCCAATGGTCATGGGCATAATTATGTTTGGAAGGTAAGATTACGGAATTTACATTCTTCTGTTGAAGATTTCCTTCTAGGTAAAACTCCGAGGTATTCCTGATCCGGAGACGGGTATGGTTTACGATCTAGCCGAATTGAAACAGGATATGAAGACAATTTTGGATACAGTAGATCACAAAAATCTCGACAAAGATGTGGAATTTTTCCAGGTGTGTGGCACTTCCTTTTATTCAAGTTCTTTCCCATCAACATTTGCATAGGTTGATCATTCGAGTGAAAACTTTTTTCTTCAGTTCTAGCTTCAGCTTTCAAAAACATTTTGCGCCATGAAGACGAGAATGGAAGTCCATTTTCGTGACTACCAAACTTTGCAATGATTCGTAATCCTCTTTTCAAGTTTTTTTTTCAATGTTTAGACGCTAACAATAGGTCTTGTTAGGATAGTTCCGAATCTTTCTTGCATTACTGCAAATTTAGCGCTGATGCAGATTTCTAACAGGGAACATCTAATGAATTTTGGATTGCGCTGGTGAAAAGTTGAAAATTATATTTTTTGAACGATACAAATAGCGCTGAGTGCAAATTAAGTGTTGCGACCATGTATTACAACGATGGTAGTACGTAGATTTCTCGAAAAGCTTGTACCATTAAAGCTTGTGACTATGGCCATTACTGAAGATTTCTGGTTATCTTTCAAAACATGGTTTTCATAAATGTGCGCAAAATACAATTTTTACCGTGTTCTGTCGTAAGCAGAGTTCGGCACGAGCTTGCACCAGGAAAATTTCATAACGAAGTCCCCTTTGATCTTGAAAATTTCGTACGAAGTCCTCTTTGACTCTAAACCTTAAACAGAAAAACCTCAAAAAAGAAAACGTCGACTAAACAAATGTCGCAATTTTTGAGTCTTTTCGGCCTAAAACAATATCCTATTTGCTTTTTGCTCAAGGTATCCAGCTACCACCTGTGCTGAACAAGGCCATAAGATTAAAAATAATTCTTGTTGTGGTCAAAAATCTACAAAACTAATTTTTATATTCCCCAATGACTATAAGGAGATTAATGAGCAACAGCGCCAGAATTAGATGTAACCGTTAATTTGAAGACTTCAGCGAAAAATTGTTGAACATTGTTGAGCTCGAGGATGTGATTAATTTTTAAATGATTCATGGTTGCAAAGTCGTTTCTCATCCACTATCAAGTCAAAGCACTGCTGCAATACATAAGAAATTTCGTGTAAGAAGTTAAAAGAGAATTTTGAGAGCTAAATGTCGAGCTGATATGTCGTTGTAGTAGCAGAATCTGGCTTTTGCTTACACCTCTGCAAAAGCTATAGTTTGCAGATAATTAGTCGAACTATCAATGCAAATAACAACCTTTGGTCGTGTTCAGTCCAAAACTCACCTAACGGGCAGGGTATAATCTTCTTATACGTAACTGACAACGGACGTTCGCTTACTAAAAGTTGATATATGCGGGTGTAAATCGGGTGAAACGGGGTAAGCGATGACAGAATGATGGAACTTGAAAATCTTTCCTTCTTACAGCATCACTAGGAAAGTAAAAGTAGTTGTGAAACTGCTGAGGAATATTGTGAAAGTATAGTTTGTTAAAAATGTTGCAGTTGTTTACTGCTTACTGTCTACTGTTGTTTACTTACGAAGATATCAAAAATCAAAAAATGTAAAGGATGGCGGATTTGCTAGTACAGAGTGTTGTTAGTTGAATTGTTTTCATTGAGCCATCTGCAATCTTTGAGGACTCCTTGAGCAGTTCAAATTCAATTTCTTATTATTTCAGCACAACGTCAGCACTTCAGAAAATGTAGCGATCTACCTTTGGGAGAAGTTACGAGTGCAAATGAAGAAACCGAAATTGCTGTACAAGGTTACAGTTGAGGAAACTCCGAAAAATATCTTCACCTACAAGGGAGAGATTTAGAATTCAACTTTTGATTTGTATACATATGCAACATTCCTCTGTAAATATATGTTTAAGAATTTGAGTTATAAATAATTTTTTGCATCCTTTTTTTTGCAAAGCAAATTGCAGATTTTATGGCTTATTCTTGTATAAGTAGAAGTTCTAAGATGGAAATGAAATGAAAGATTTACGACTTAAAACAAAAAAAGGTGTTCTGTCGGACCATTAACCTACTCACCCCCACCCCCTAAACATCGATATTATTTGAACACCTGTATGCTGCTAACCATGTGTGCACGAATTTCGAGAGCATCACCCCCCACTGGTCAATATAGTATCTACGACCAATGCGTCTCATTATATTATTGTATTTATTCTTACCTGTCATTGGTCAACTTGGTAAGTTATTGTCTCATCGCTGGTTGGTTGCTTGAATATTATTCATTTTAATTCTAGTGATTTTGAGGAACTGTCTTAAGCAAAGTTACAGTTCCCAAAGCTGGTGGTTCTATCATTCTTGTTATTCTTGTTTCTTGTATAAATAGTGTATTCATAGATGTTTTACGAGTTTAATATTTGAACTTCCGAATTTCATAATCAACTCTCTCATGGGTAACCCTTCAAATCAGTTGTGTAAACAGTTTTGACGGATCTCACCCTGCTGCTCCCTGCGCAAAACATATTCTCCGTGCGTTAATCATTAGAGGCAATGTCCCCCAAAAATTCGCTTTCCGGTTTTTCAGC